AAATTCGGCTACATACTCATCTATAGTATTAGCTCGTTATCTCGGTATTGCCAACTGCCTCTGCATCTTAAGACGAGCTGTTCTTGGGAAAAATGTCTCTAGAAAACTCTCCTGGAATGTCTCCCAAGAAATTGGCTGATGCAACTTCTCCTCCTCTGCATCCCATCAGGTCCTTGCTACTTTAACGAGCTGCAGTTGCACAATATTCACTCGGTCTTCGTCTGGTATTTTTGCTACCCTCGATAAGCGCTCCATGGTCTGCAATCATATCTCGGCTTCATATCCTCCTTCAGCCCCAACAAAGTTTTGCGGGTTGAGCTTACGAAAATCGGACACATTACCTTGCCTGGCAACCTGCTGCCCATCCCTCTGGCAACTATGAGCTACCAGCTCCCTAATCGCTCATGCAAGATCAGTCTGAGCGACTTGGTGTCCCTCAGGAACAACTGGAGTAGGGGTTGGACGTCTTGGGGCCATAGTGATCACGTAAAATGAGATTGGTCAAGTTTAGGACTTGAGAATCAGGGTATTGGGAGTCAAATGACGTATTTCTGAAAAGAAAAGAATCTATTCTATACATGCTCTATTTTTGGTCCAATCTAATTTTGTACTTGTATACAGGACGAGAAAACAATTCCTAAACCTGGCTCTGATACCAATTAAAAACATTGTCATGCCCCGGTTCCACTTTTAAATAATCTCGAGCGTGACTTGGCTTACAATGCAATCTACAGTCACATTCACGCCTCTGGATTTTTCCTGTATACAGATATTTGCCAAAAGAACTATAGAGCATGTAACTAAGAGAAAATAAAGGGAAATAGATAGATAAAGAAATCTCTGAAAAAGATAGAGTTCTCGTACATGTCCACAACTATCCAAAGTAGGAAAGAGGATAAATACATTACAGTCTGATAACCAAGTTCATTACATGAAAAGTCTCATAACAATATAACTACCTAAGATAAAGGAAGTGGAGAACTGATATAATAAACGGTGATCACTGTTGCTGAGCCTGCCCTCAAAATACTCTCGGTCCTACGAAGAAAGAACGGTTCCTGAATATGGGGCGAGCAAACCCCAGGGGAGTCAGGAAACTCCCAGCAAGCATGTAAAATGAGGAAATTGTGCGCGTATAAGTGTATGTGCATATAAAGAAAAGATGAATTCTAAATTAGCAGAGAGGGAATAAAATGCCAATCAAGAGATCAAGATAATGTCTATTTCCAACATACAAGCGTATAATATTATTATTTTAGATGTTATTTGAATTAGAAAAAAAATATTTTCATGTGTATAAATCGGTTCCTCGTAAACCACCCCGGGAACACGGCTTCAAGTCAAGTATTAGCCATTTGGTCCTTGTATGTATATAACTTAGGATCAGGAATGCGCATGTGCCCGTTTATATACATGTTATATTCTCCGTCTAATTCCCATTTATAAACCCCATGTTTTTTTAAAATCTAAGTGACTGTGTATGAAATGTTGTGCACTAACCACAGAGTTACCGTGGAACAGCTTCCGTAAAACTATAAAAAATAACCGTGACTCGGAACATGTCTAATCAAGAGGGGTGCATCGTCTAGTTGATGCTATAATAGTAATAGCTAAGAAAAAAAAATCTCATATCGGGACATCGATATCGAGGGTATAACAATGCTTTGAAAGTACGCTTATAAATCATAATTTTAACAGAAGTTGTCTTCATACAGAGTCTCCTATTGGATAATAACTAGGTGATCAAACAATAATTTTTCTATAAAGTCATGCATATCAAACACAGTAAGCTAAGCATGCTATTTCATGGGATCTCTCCAAAAATAGAGTACTTAATCTTGATTTTAATAATCAAAATATAAGGGGTGTAAAATATCATATGAAGAAATAAAAGAGGAGTTAATGAGAGATTAGAATGCTGTCATTAATAAATTAGATTATTTGATTACTGTTACAATTTGTACATGCTTATTTTCAGTATCCTAACAACAATAACTATACAATATTTTTTTAAGGCATTAAATCATATTATCTGTAAATATGTGCATCGGCCCGAAGCCCACAAAAACTTAGGCCCAACCACCTTCTTTTAATAAGATACAACTCTAGTATAACTTATTAAGGCCCAAAACAATAAAAAAAATTCTTTTGAAGGTTACGGGATTTGAACTAGGAACTTAAGGGTTATTATTTTTGGCATCTGACCACTAGACCGATTTTTTTTTTTTTTTGCTTTTATAACATGAGTAATGTAGAAAAGATATAAATTTGTGTTCAGATAATTGTGTAAATCTTAAAAGTACAAATATATCTACTAAACCTTCATATTTGTTTTCAGAAAAATTGAAATTCACTTGATTTGAACTCCGAACCTAGCTGTTATCATCTAAGGCATAGCACGACGTAATTAACGTGTTGTACGAAAATGAAGGAATAAGAAAACCTACATATCAGCAAATTTTACTAACAAAGATAATTTTTCTTCTCACTAATCCTACTGTCAACATACTAAACAAAACTATTTTCACTCATAAAAAATAAAAATTTATATAGAACGCTTATATGAAGGAAAGCCAAATAATAATAACAATAATGATAATAATTGAGGAAATGATACTTGCATAATAAGAATGAGCAAGATAAAATATGCTTGCCTATTTGCCGAGCTAAGTCTCTCAATCCCAATACCCAGCAAAAATCCCTACTCTTCCTCCTCTCTCTCATTCTCCTCTGTTCGTTTTTCCCCCGTGAGGCAAAGAGAGAGTTATAAAGTCAAGCAGATTGATTAGGTGGAGTTAGAGACAATCAGAGGGGTTAAGTAGAGGTTTAGGCAAACATGTAACTCATGAAACAAAAATGAGACAACCTTGTTAGGGCCTTAGGGGGGTTGACAGTTTACTCTAAAGGTGAGGCTTGAGATCTAAGAGATTGGTAAAAGAAACATCATGGCCCCATGCTGGAAAAAAAATGCATAAGTCCAAACTTCTTTGTTTAGTTAGACTGCATACATACACAATAAAAAAAAGTCATAAAGCAAGCCATAAAGCTAGCATACAACCATAAAAATAGTTTGAATCTGTGGCCAACGTGTTCCTCTTGGTTTGAATAGGGTCAAAATCACAAAACCACATAGACTTTTGAGGGTGTCTCCCATAAAACCCCTAAACTTTATTTATCTCATAATATCACCTAAACTTTTTGGGTTTCTCTCAAAAATTAAAATTTCAGGTATTTACTTTAAGCCACATGTAAGGTTAGTGGGTATTACATCTCACCCACCTGCATGCCCACTCACACAATGACACACCTCCACCCACCCACAACACATCCACACCCAAAACCACACAGATGCATGCGTGATGCACACAAATACATATTGTCAAAAGATGCTTCCACTACACCTGAACTTCAGAGTTATGACGAGTGTTGAGGGTTATAATTTTATAATCTATCTTATTCCTGCAGATTAAGGGCCCTCTTTATGGTTTGAAATGTAGTTTTATACTCGCTTTAAATTCGTGGCCAGTAGGATTTGAACCTGGGTTGCTCTGATACCATGTGAAAAAGCCCTTCACTACGCCAAACTCCAAAGTTATGATGAGGGGTTAGGGTTATAATTATACTGTCTTAACGCACATGTTTGCATGTGCGTGCGCATGTAAATTATGCATGTTTGATCATCCTTTTAGCCCTAATTATCCCAAATCTATGCTGTAAATCTCTTGCGGGGATCGTGGAGGCTGAATATGAAGCTAAATATACTATAAAACCCGACTTTGTTCTTAAACAATTTTTTGGGATTAATAGATACCCCTGGAACATGGACTGCTTACTTTTTGTAAATGACTCATTGATTAAAGCACTTTTTTTCTCCTCACAATTGGCATTATCTTGTTAAAGTGTGAAGGTAAGGAATTTTCTATTCTTCTCTTGACATCACAACAAAACTTCGAACAATTGATAATTTTTGTTTTCCCATTGGGGCATTTCATTTTTGGTAATCATTAAGCTTTATTTTTATTAAACCATAGTTCTTGTTTCATAATATTTTTTTAAATTACGATATAATTATAATTCTTTATTTACATTTAAAGTGCTAGAATAAGAATAACCAACGGTCATATTTTCTTCATGTTCAAGCCCCACTTTGTTTTTTATTGATGATGATAACACAGGTTTTACACATTGTTTTTTTCAACCTTTTCATTTATTTACTGTTTCAAATTTCTCTGCATTAAGGAAGTTTCGACCAATGAATAATAGCTCCATTTACCCTAAGCAAGAATTTCATAGTAATGTTGCAAGCATATTCATCATCTTCTTTCGCTACAAACTCAGATTCGTTCAATTGCGAGAAGAGCAGTTTTATTTTTCATTCTCATCCTTCTTTATTCCTTTTGCTGGGAGCAATCAGAACCGTGAACCTCTTAGTTGGCTTTTTTTTCAGACGACTGAATAATCCTGTACTCATCATATGGCTCTTAATTGGCTATTCTTATCCTTGGATGCATATTATTGTTGACTCCAAAGTTGGGAGAAAAGTGGTGCTTCTACATCTTCCTCATCAAAATAGTTTATGAATCCCTTCAATTGGATTCAGTCATTATTGAGTTCACTAGTGCTCCAATGCATTTTTTGGTCTGTCTTTTCTCTCGATTCCCAATTAAATGACATATACCTTGTGGCAAACTTCTTCTTTTAACCTTCACTTATCGGTGTCTCATGATTTAACAGAAGACTATAAATTGTCATGTTGTGGAAAATGTTACTATCAGAAGTTCACAATGTTACTGGCTGTAGGGATGTTTATATATATGTGGAAAAAGATAGTTGATTAATTTGTGCTGGCATATTGGAATTGTTGATAGGGTGATGAGGTTTATGATTTAGTTAGATTTTTTTGGTTCTGTAATCTTATAGAATTGCCCTTTATTTTACTTCTTATTTTCTTTATTCATATGTGTAGAAGAAGTGTTTAACATGATGGGCATTCTCTGCAGATACTGTTCGGGGTCTTGCAATTATGCCTGATTTGGGTATTCTGTCTGCATCACATGATTGGTAAATTATCCTTCAAGTGTGTTTTAGATTGAAATCACTATTTTTTGCTTAATAGTTATTTATCCACTGATGGCTATGTGGTCATTTATTTGCCTGTTTATGGTCGCTTATGCACCGGAATTCTAGATTTTGTTTCATATTTTCGATGTAATACTTATGTGTGTTAAGGGGTGTGAATTTATAGTTAAAATAGTCTACCATCATGATAAGTTTGTGTAAGATTTGTGGTTCTTCTGACCAAAGATGTCTATCACTGTAGATATAGTACAGGATTGACTGCTACTGCGAGGACCCATTGCGACATTTTCTTGCCTTCTTGGTGATGTTTATAATGGTTTTTGAGTTATCCTAATTCTTTTCTTACCATTGGAGTTGATCAGGTACAAATATTGCTTATAAAATTAATATGTGCATAAGAGGTGGCCATATAGAGAAAATTACTTTTATCACAATATAATTATGACTCCGGTCTCTGAACATGAGATTAATTAACGTAATTTTATTGCATTGTAAACTATAATGTATAATTCATAAAACTTATATTATTCTCAAAATTTCAGGAGATAGGATTCATGCTAAATAAGCATAAAACTGAGGGTACAAAAAGTGCAGTTGTCTGGTTTCTGTACTGTTAACTTAAAAAAGCACAATGAATCATATTTATCACAACCTAACCTTTCAAGATAGTCGTACTCATTTCAGTTGTAAGACAACCACATCATTACTTCTATTAGCTCCTCTCTATTTTGTCTTAAGCCATGGGTGGGTTATTTTTTTCGTTGTTTCGTTGTTTTTTTTTGGGTTTTCTTTTCCTTTTTTTTGGGGGGGGAG